AGAAACACTGCCCATCCTTCTGCTGTGCTGGGCGCTGTCTTGTTGGAACGGCAGGAGAAGCTGTGTGCCCAGGCCTGTGCCGAGTGCAGGAAATGCTGCTGCCCACAGGGGCAGTGGGGTTCAGAGTGGCCGGAACCCCAGAGCCAAGAGTCCTCCGCTTTGTTCCAGGGGGAACCTTTGGGTGACCCAGGCCTCAGTGACCTTGGCCAGGCCCTGCTCCTCCCCCATCAGGCCATGCGGGCTGCATGGCAAGACATGGCAGGAAGTGACCCTCATAGTCACCAGGGTCTTTCCAGCTTTGGACTTTGGTAGCCCTTGGGGATCAGCTAGAGAGTGATACTTTGGGGTCTGCCAGCTGGGGGCGGGTCCAGGACAGAAAGGACACCGGAATCTGGGCTGGCTCTTTTTGGGGATCAGAGCCAAGAGGCAGTGGGTCTGGGCCTGGGTCCTGCGGGGAGGGGGAGTTGGCTAAAAGCTGGACACCACCCCAGGCCCTTCAAGGGGAGAGAGAAGCCCCCCCCACCATGTGAAATGAGATCACTGGGCTATGTATGTGGGGTAGATTGAGGCTGAAGACCTGGGTGGGGTTAGGTGGGGGGTAGCCCACAAGTGGATGGCCAGGGAGGGCAGATTTGCCAGCTGCCAGGGCAGAAGAGAATGGCAGGGGCAGGAGGAAGCCTGTTTTCCTCTCCCACAGTGACCAGGGAGAGGGAGGGGATGATGGAGCCTGGTGCTGAGTGGGGATGGGGGCAGAGACCCCTGGGGTGGAGGTGGTGGCATGGAGGAGCCCCCTCCCTGTGAGCTGGCCTGTATCCATCGTACCATGTCCCTCAGGTCTTTCTGACTATGGTCCCTGCCTGGCTGTGGGTGCTCTGCCTCTCTGCCCCCCAGGTGAGCTGGGACCCCCTGTCCTCCTCCTTCAGGTCTTGATCTTGGGGTTGACACGCATGTACTCCCCTCCACTTAGACCAGTTATACCGACCACGGGGGTAGGGATAGGGGGTGGTCAAGCTGGCCCTGGGCTTCTTGAGGTAAGGGCCAAAGGCTAAAGGGGAGTGGGCTCAGGTGTGACCAGGTGCCCATCCGCTAGCCCTTGGGGACAAGGAGGGGCTTCTCCTTCAGGTTCTTCTTGAGGCCCAGCCTACAGAGCTGCATGTGGAAGTCCCGGAAAACTATGGTGGAAATTTCCCTTTGTACCTGGCCAAGGTGAGTCTGAGAGCCAGGTGGGCCGCCTCTTTCCCTGCCCTCCTCCAGCACCTTCCTCCACCCTTTCTCTGCGGGGAGTGTGGGAGAGATGGTGTTAATGAATAATAAGGTTCTAATCCCAGAGAAAAGCCGAACTTTGAGATAAAGGAAAGTACATTTCCTGGGAAAGAGGCAGGGGCGGGGGTTGAGGTGGTGGTGAGTTGGGGGGGTGACTGGGAGCCCCAGAGCTCCAGAATAAAGCTCCAGCTTTGGACCCCACTCGCTTACATCCTGACACCAGGCCTTTTCTGAGGTTTGGTTCCGC